GATTTTCGACTCGTGAATCGATCATTGAGTATAGCACAGTAAGCGGAGAGTGCAAATAAGCTTAGCTCGTTGTGAATTAGCTGCCATGATTTGAGCACTATTAGCGCTTGGAGCATCACTCCCCGGCGCCGGCGCCGGCGCTCCGATTTAGCTACCGCTTATTGCGTTTTCACTTTAGATTATGTTTAAATCTATTGTATTTAACAGTGCGCTCTGATTATTAGAATTTTAATTTATGATTTGTTATTGTTTTATAAGCTACCATGTTAAAACTACTTCTTACATTTTTCTGATCCTTTGTATGGTCCGTGTTTACTAGGTTGTGATGTTCTTCGTCTTATATTAATTATAACACCACAACAAAATTTTGAATCGATTTTCATAATTCTTTTTGTTTTGACTGGTTAATGGGCCGAGACGGTCCTATTTTTATTTTATCAGTAGTTTTATTTTTATAACAAAAGAAAATATGCCTTTCATTTATTACCTAAATATTTTGATGCCATATTTATATAAGCGAAAACACAAAAGATGGCTGACTTTGCATTCAATCAAAATCCGAAAGGAGAAATTTCTATGTTCAACGAGTGTTATGTATGAACAACTTGCTTTCGCCAGCGGCTTCGTCCGCGTGGTCCCAACGGAAACGTTTAGTAGGATAAAAATTATCCTCGTATCTAAGTCAGCTAATATCCTATCAGTATATGTGATTTCACCAAAATCCGTTCGGTAGATTTGGCGTGATTGACGGACAAACAAAGAAACTTTCACATTTATAATATTAATAGGATATTATATTTTGATTAATTTTAATTTCACAATGCCATTCTGCCCGGATTGCGAAAATTCGTGGGTTCGATTCCCAAAAAAAATTTTTAAGTCAAAAGTCAAAATAATCTTTATTCAAATAGACTTCTTAAAAGTACTTTTGAATTGTCCAACATTTTTTTCCCTACCACTCGTTCAGGACGCTGATAAGAAGAACGAGCAAGAAACTTACCAGCTCTTATATAAGTAATGACATTTACAAAAACCATGTCATTACCAGATCAATACATTATAAACAGAGATAGAGAAAAAAAAATATTGTCTTATAATGATAACATAATCATTTAATAATAATGGAAACAAGATTAAAACAAGATTAATAATGAGTTTAGAAGTAATCACCTATCCAGTTGCTGGATTATCTCAAGTCCAAGCGTTCTTATCTGTTATATAATAGGATACCTTATAATAAGCTTTTTTAATAAGTATTTTTTTTGAAGTAAATTAAATTAAATAAAAAACATCACTTTCATATTGATACTAATATAAAATATATATAGTGCCTATGCCTATAAGTTTCATTAAAATAATATGTAATAATAATTTTAAAAGTGGTAAAATTTTTCAAGACAAATTGTAGTTGGATGGTTGTCATTTAATAAGTTACAGAAGAACTCAGCCCGACTTTAACGCTTACTGAAAAAAAAATACCGTTTGTAAAATAAGTATTATTATTTTTTTAATTTTAAGCCGGTTTTATTTTACGAAAAATACTTACCGGTATTCCACAGAGATACAAATGACATTCAGTTTTGAAGTCTCAATCGTTCAACTTTTTATTTTTTTAATACCCACGAATCTTTTACTGTAATATCTGTGATATGTTATACGTAATAATGCGTAAGAAAAGCAATAAGGTTCTATTCACACTCCACTTATCGTACCCGCGCTATGTATGCTATTGTCGAATTGATTTCTTTTACCATAAATCTTTCAAAGACTGTTTTCATCCTTATTAGTCGTTTTCTTGATACTTTATACTTTTACACATATCATACATTTTGTCATTTGAAGCGTACTTAAATAAGTTTTTTTTTACATTTTGTTCTTACATTCAATTGACAACCTTTGATTCAATGTTAATCACCCCCAATCCCCACAAAAAATATAAATCATAATACCCACTTAACCGGTTCATTTTAATGAATGCGCAACGGCCGATAATTCGACCAATGTCAAGAGTGAAGTTAGCGCCGGCGTGTTGCGGCGCGGCGGCGTGCACAAAGCGTGCAGATATGCGATTGCGTAACCGGTTACCGGCCGTAACCGCTTCGGTGTCAACAACTCGATCGTGATCGGCGCGGGCGACGACGGTAATCGGACCACACGTGCTGTTCAAGGTTGCGGATTAACAATGAGAGTTCATATTTAGGCTAGATTTTTTTTAGAAACATTTTTTTGTTGTGTCTAAAATAAAACCTTTATGATATTGGAAAACTTTCAAGTTTTTCTCTTTGAGGTCGTTTACTTGGTAAAGGTATTCGTATAATGTATTTTCAATTTTTCACTTGCGAGCATCAGATTGTTATACTTTATCCACATTGTCACAAACTAATAAATAATTATATAATTTATTTATTACTCTTTGGTTGTTATCGAGGATTTGTGCACTATGTCTTTGTATGTGTTAAATCAAGCTGAGTATTCGCAAAGCGTCAGTATATCTACGTATGTATAATTTAAGGTGTAATATTATGTTATTTAATTAAGATCACCAAATGGGCCGTATTATGAATATACGTATTATTCCATTTTCATTTATTCAATGTATATACAAGTATTTTAATATTACTATGAGACTATTAATGTATCTCGAAAGTATAATTTGAAAACCAGAGTTATTCTTTTACTTCATTTTATTTAAAGTATTTGGTTGAAAAGCAATATGTTAAAAGGATATAATACTGTTCTATAATTAAGTATTTCATCAATAATCGTACGCAAGATGTACTTACAACATTACCACGATTGATCCATAACCTAAATTTTATAATATTAGAATAGGACTAAACGTATAAAATCGTAGTTTGAAATGGGAAATTGGACCAATTATGTTAATATGTCGTGTTTTCTTTAACGAATTTCAGATACTTTGTATTTCGTTCACGTGTATTGGATTGGAAGCTATTTGAGAATTAAACTTCGTGCAAAGATTTTGTAACAAGTTCTAGCACTTGGCGATTCTCCAAAACATATACATATATTTAAACGCATAAGAAAATATTAGCTAGAAAGCACATTCTAATGTATTCTAACCTTATGATCAAACATATGTATATACTTAGAACGATGGAAAAATATTTTCCAGATTTTGCATAAAGTCCGTTCAGTAGGAAAATGATCTCCAGAAGTACCTATTACCTGCCATTAAATAACATATTAAGTATGAGGATATTGTCCAGGGTTCTTTACCTACTAGTGGGTGTGAGACAACATACGATGATCGACTTTTTTGGTATCTGCTTATTTTTAGCAACTGCAGATTGAATGCAAGCATCGCCCAAGTAGCACAAAACACCATTATATCAAACTTATGATAGCACGAGTCCAAGCGTTAAGCACTATAATAAAATCGTATATCAACCGTATTTCTTTTAAACGACTCTTATACGTAAAATTTGGCCCCCCCCCTTTGTACGACTTTAAGCTTTATAAAAGCTGTGCAATAGCACTACAACTTTTGTATAATAGCATTAATAAAGTCGGGTAAAAGCATTCTAATAGCCTTTTAATAATTGAACTTTTTGTGACTATATTACAATTGATATGCGTAAATCAAAATTATAATACGTTAGTTTAATATTATAAAAATGCTTACTGTTTTATTTCCTTTGTAAAAAAAGTATATTTAATAGATTTTAAAAATATATAATCGGTTTAAGTTATTGTTTTGTGTAAGTGTCATGACATGTTCTCTTGGCTGGTCTTTTAAGTATTTTTTAATATTGATTTAAACAGCTCGTTATGTGTGAAATAAGCTGCAAACATCAGTTTATGGTGTAAAATACACGCGCCTTTGCAAACTTCCTTTCATATAATAAAAATAATAGAAAATTTAACCGAGTAGCAAAAATTTTTGTTGAATTTTAGGCTTTTTAGCATTGTTTTAACAACATAATTGCTATTATAGGCATCTGTGCACAAAATAAATGATTATTTACCCCTTTTCATCTGACACAGTTGACTTTAAATATTTTGTAAGAATTGGAAAAAGAAAGCAAATGGCGACTCGTAAAATTAAAGCATTAGGTATTCAAATATAGTGTAGTAGAGCTGTTAATCGTATTATGGTTAGACACAAAACTAAGAGCTCGTAATTCATCGTATAACACACTCCCATTTTAGCTACAGCTGTATTTTAACACTTCAGAAGTATCTTATAGTGCTTATAATCATCAAACGATTATTTCATTTCTATTTTGATTTTTAAAAGTTTCAATTAAATTGTTTTCTTTGTTTTTCCCAACGTTTTTTGTCCATGGCGCCATCGATGCGTATAAAATGCCACCATTACAATACAATACATTAAATAATTTTACATTTTAATTTCACATAAAAAATAATTACGATCTATTTATTACTATTATCTCTATAAATAACTTAATATTGATCAAAATAAAGCCTAATGTTTTATAAAAGCATAGATTAAGAAGATAAAGGAGCTTGAGCTTAATTTAAGAATACTTTAAGAACATATCGGTGCTAAAGTTTTACTAGTTCTTTATTCAATGTGTATATAGGATAAGCATTAAATCGATATAACCATAGGCCATTAGAAAACCTTTGTTTCTAGAAAATGACTAAATACAACTAAGTGCACTAAATAATATTACGTTAATGCTTATATAATATATAATGTTTTTCATATCACCGAAATACGATAACAGCTTTTATTAATATTACCCAATACTTAAATAGGAGTTTTGACATTGGTGTACTTTTTTTATTAACCATAATATGGCATTAAGTATTATTAGATAAAATAAATGCCATTAAACAGATTCGAAACTTGACCAGTGCTGATTAAAAATGTTAGTATGACTTTAGGACATAAATCGGTACTTATTTTAGTTAATATATTATTTATGTGCTACTTGGTCGTGCATCCTTCTCCTTACTGTAAATGTCAAAGCTTTCATACATGTTAAATGTTATAATATGTTTTGTTATAGATGAGGATGAAGAGTGCGGGGTCCTGTCGGAGGTGTCGGAGGGTGGTCGCGCGGACACTGACGACGAGGGTATCGAGCGTGACGCGGAGCCCGCGCCACGCCGCCGGCGCTCCCGGCGGAGGTTCATGCTGCGTGATGTTATTGAGGTGAACACCTTTTATTTTCTTTCAATACAATTGCGTCAACAATAGCATAGATTTTAAACAAACCTTCATCATCTTCATATGATGAGCGTTATTATAATCAAGTAATATTAGATAGTTGCGAGTTGAAAGACGTTGGCTATTTGACTGTTTTGGAAAAGGTGTTTTTAAACTTTCATATGATCAAATTAAACGACTATCAGTAAATCCCTATTTATGTGATTAAATAAAGGAAAAGCCATGTGATATAGTTGAAGCCGTGACGTCACATTTCAATAAACGTCTGGTGAATAAAGACGTCGAAATTTGATTTATTACAACATGGGCGCTTGCGTTTTGGTTCTTGAAATCTACAGATTATAAATTGTAAGTTAATAGAAAATATATATACTTCCAATTAATTTTAAAACAAAAATGCTACATAGTTATTGCTAACATATAAGTTACCATGATAACATTTTCTTAATTTATTGTGTTATATAATTGTCAAGTAGTCATTTACAAAAAGATAATATAGTTCACGGAAAAAGCTTGGGTTTCGTTAAAAAAAATATCGCCATTGAATATCAACCTTATCAAAGCCACAGTAGACTGTAGACAACTGTTTGTCTACTGCGTTAAAACTACTACAAGTGAGAACGATTAAAATTTTAAAATTTAAAATGTGAGTAATCAAATCAAGTTTATTAAAGTTAAAACTTCACCTCTCTTGACCTAATTTCTGTTGCCCATTTTACTGGATTCCTGCTATTAGTGTTGCGTCCACTCTTCAGTCACATTATCCAACTTTCACTCGGGAACGCGATTCTTATCTTCGGTTTCACCTATAAAATTTATCCACACGGAGTAGCATCTCTCATTTATATTTTAATGCATATTACTTTCCACATTCTGTAGTTAATGAACCAGTGAAATTGTAAAGACATTTTGAAATTGTTTATGTTCAATAATGACTAAACAATATTTATATTTCTCGCTCGGAGATATTCTACGGTGTAATTTGTTTATACTGATTCATTTTAAAACAAAATGCTTATTTTTTTTCACCTAGCTTTCACTTACGAAATTAGACACAGGCGTTCATAGGCTCATATACACCGACATCTGTGAACATATAGAATTCATACAATCCCAACGATATTACAAAAAACCTCCTTTTTAAGCTAGTTAAAAATAAGTAAAGTTTATTTATACCAAAAAAAAACATTGATATTATGTAAATGTTGGTATTTAATCATGTATAAAAATTAAGTCAATGTATGAATTCTATTTTCACTCTTATTTGTTGGGTTGATTTGCAGGATAAAAACTATCCTTTGTTCTTCTTAGGGTCTTGTACTGTCTTCATACCAAACATTAAAATGGGTTCATTGATTTAATCGTGATATGATTGTGTAGATTATTATGTTAATGTGGTTGGCCTAGCTTCAACTTTAGTTAGTTTGAAACCATTAAGATATAACTTAATTTTATTATTAAAATATTTTAAACTGAATTCAAGCTAAGCTATACTTGTGATCATATTAAATTGTAAATATTAATAATACTTGGATTATTGCTAGCTACTTACTTTAAATAAATTTAAATTTAAACTTCTATAAAATTTAATCATCATCATCAGCTCTTTTACGTCCCCACTGCTGGAGCTCAGGCATTCCTTATGGATGGTTAAGGAGCATGGGCCATGACCCCCCACGCTGATACAATGCGGATTGGAGGGTATTAACGACGCCATATGCAGCCGGGGCTAAAGGCTTAACGTGCTCTCTGAAGCACGGAGTAGCTCGAGATAATAATATTTTGGGCACCCATTCCGTGGCCGACTCTTGCGAAAGTTGCTTAACAACAACGATCGCAGATCACGGTGCCTATCCACTACGCCACCGAGTTACTATATATATACTTTATTATTATATTAAATATTTAATATAATAACAAATCCTTTATCGCAATATTGGAATTTCAAGAAACCTTTTGTACAGCCATTGAGTTTGGGGTACGTCAAATATTGGTTTTCCAAGTCAAAGCTGCTTCCAAGTCACTCCAATATTAGTCGTGACAACCTCCTCAACAACTTCCTATCACCACAATAATGCCACCGCCTCGAAGCTCTCGTTTATTTATAATATTTTATATTTGTTATATAAAATATTTTGAAAACTTGCTTATGAAAAGAAATCAAAGAAAAATGAAATATCTTCTAGATGTTTTTAACGGTTTTATTTGTGAATTGACTTGGGAATATATGTTTTTCTTGAGCGTCGGCGGGGCTAAGAAGTGGGTCACCGGGGCTCATCAATATTAGAGTATGTGGACTTTACTGCTTCCACTGCTCCACGGTTTGAAAACGATATGGAGAACGTTACATATAAGTATAGAATGTTAGTTTGCTACCATAATTTCATCTTGAAGAAAATGAGATGTGATAAATTAAGCAAGTATACATCAGTATAAAGGTTATATAGTTATTAAATATTGACGACTTCTGTCATCGAATGACTCATACACCGGTTTCAATATGGCGCTGAAGTCCATCTCTAAGGTCTCGGGTTCGATTCCCGGTCAGATCATTGTAAACTTATCTATATTGGGCTCGGGTATGGGTGTTGCGGTACCTTCGTTGTTTCACATCGCCATAATACGAGTAGCCTAGCTGCTTAATTTGCGATCTGAGCATGTATCGATATTTATTAATTATACATTATTAAACACATAAACTCATCCATACACACACACACACACACACACACACACATACATACATACATACACCATATTTGTCGTGCAATATAATTTATAAATATGTATATTTTTGTCTAATACTTGCATTTTCTTTGTCAACTGCCCTCATTATGATCATATAATTAATAAAATTTGTAAACATAATAAGTTTCTATAATTGGCGTCAATGCGGCATACTTATTTTTTTATAGAAATAACTAAACTGCTGTTGAAACTTTGTTGAATAAACAAATAAATAAATAAATACATAATTAAATTTTACATCATAAGCGGAATAGGAAAATTTAATACACACACAAAGCGAACTTTAATATTCACTCACGAACTTAAAAAGAGACAATAATTTTATATTATCTAAGGAGAATCGTTAACAACTACCATGAATTGTAATCGTCAAGTAACGTCTAAGGCCGACCTGCAATCTCACGCATAAAATGGACCATAATTAAGAGTTGTCAAATTGTTGTATGCCGGTGCGATAAATCGCCATTGATTTGCGATAGCGGCCGGCTGCGACGATAGAGACAAACGCGAGCGTGAACCTAAGGCGTCGATATACGTATTGCGACAGCGACAGGTTATAAACTGAGAAGAAGAATTAATCTATATTAGGAAGTTAATATAACGACGCTTAAAGAATTATGAATGGCACTCTGTACTTTTGCATAAGCTACAGGTCCTCCTATTTTAAGTTCCTACAGATCCACACTGCAAAAAAAGGACAAGTGAATTTTTATACGATTCCATACTGTCTTTATTTATTTTTGGTTAATAAACTTATTATTATTTATTATAACTTTAAAGGCATTCAATTCGCATAATTTAGTAAAATGGTAAACGGTAAACTGTCATATTTTGCCAACATTTTAGAATAGATACCGGTATATTCGTTTTTAAATCACACTCACTGAGAAGTTTTAATGTGTGTGCTAATTTTTGTTTAATAACATGTGTGTAAATTATTTTTTTTTAGTCAAGGATTGAAATCTTGTATTGTGGTAAATAATGTTATTTTGTTACCTTTTTCAAAAAGGATGAAAGGGACGACCACGTAGATAAAATGATTGCGACAATGTCTTGCGTGTCGCAGGTCTTGTATGGAAGCTTAATAGTATCAGTTCCTTTACTCCTATAACTTATAACAGTCACTGTTTGACCAAGATTTATGGATCAAAAGCAGAGGCGCAGTACATAATGATAGCGCTCTGGTGTTCGATCCGGAAGATTGTATTTAGGTATTTGGTCGAACTAAGCCGTTTGATTAATTATTGAGGCGAGTAACTGTAAATGTATAAATGCTATTAGATTATAAGCAATTTATCCATTAATAAGAGAGTTACATGTTTTAAGATGAAACAGTTGTCTTTTATGAACACACGAAGAAGTTACACATATTGAGATGAATGAAATTAACATTAAAAACACGTAGCGGAAACCGTATGTTAAGAATGATAAATGTTGCTAGGATATTAGTAGGTGTATTGGATATCATTCTGAAGTATAATGATAACGATACACCTTTCACGATCAAATCAATCGCGTGCTCTTAGTAGATGATGTCAGAAGTAATAAAAACCGGCGAGTATGTATGAAAAGAGCAATGAAAGGACCGTACATTTTGGCGTTCGGTCCTCTCTACTTACCCCGTTAGGGATACGGCGTGAAGATAAGTATAATAGATATAAGAATACAATATAATAATTAATTGTCACTGTTTTTTATATCATAGACTGCTTTAAAACAAATAAGAATATTTTCGAGACTATAATAGAAACATATTCTGGTAGTTCTATACGATCACTCGAACTTTTTAAAACAGTAAAACTTCCTAGGCAGTTACTATCTTACATAATGGCACGAGTATCTAGAAATTTAAGCAGCATATTTGTTGTGATTTTTATACGTACTTATAGTCGATGTTTTCTATTAATTTAATCGACGTTGTCCAATCAAAATTGTTTCTTTCATTATGTTAGTTGAATATAAATTATATAATTTGACATAAACGTTACTGCAGAGGATGAAACTGCTATAAACACTCATTTTATTTTAGTGATATCAATAAACACCTTTCGCTTCTGTATTTGGGACCTTGGTGTGTAGAATTATTTGTGAAAGTGTAATAAAAATAATGAATTGCGTTCTATCGACTTTATAATGGTTAAATGCGAAATGTAACAAAAATATATATTACGAAATAGCGTTCGTTTCAAAGCAATTAAGAATAACTGTTGGCTATTAATGACATGCCAGTGCATTAGTGACACTTTCGTGCAGAGTATGTCTCGTCTTAACTGTCGTTATAGTTTAAAATGTCACTATCGTCTGACATGTTTTGACTTTCAATCGGCTAAATTTTGAAGATAGAAATAGTGGTCGAAGATACGCTCAGAGATTACCACTATAGTTTTCATTTAAGAGTGTCACCATATTATTGCATAAAAGGCAATTATCTTACAATAAGTGCCTACTTTGAGTAGCTCGGTAGCTTAGTGGATAAGCGCCGCGGTTCTCGATCGTTGTTTTTAAGCAACTTTCGCAAGGGTCGTTTACGGGATGGGTGACAAAAAAAACAAAATTATCTCGAGCTACTCCGTGCTTCGGAAGACACGTAAAGTCATTGGTCCCGGCTGCATTTGCAGCCGTTAATACCCTCCAATCCGCATTGGGTCAGCGAGAAATGTCATGGATCGTCCTCCTTAACCATCCATAAGGTAGGCCTGAGTCTTTACAGCGGGGACGTAACAAGGCTGATGATGAAGTGCCTACTGAAACAGAATTGTCTATGAAAAGAAATTGAATTCATGTTACTAGGAAAGCTGTGGAAGTAGTTTTTTTTTTTGTAATGTAGAGGAAGAGAACATATGTATAGACTGTATAAAAAGCAAAATGAAATTGAAGGAAATTGGGAATGGGATCTGGAAATTGAACAGACAGTTGAATATTGAAACCAAATGATAAAGATAGTTTATCTTTTTTGCTCCGATGTTGTTAAGGTCAAAATATAAGTACATAGAATATTTTAGATATTTATAGAATCTGAATATTCTATTTGCTGGAATATGGTACAAAAACATTATAATAGATTCTTACTTATAAGTCACCATCACCAGCATGTTCTGGCGATCACGTCGCAGTGGAAATATGTTATTATTATGAATATATATATACATAATAATAATAATATGAGTTATTTAATGGAACATTTGATAGAAAAATCTGAAATCATGTAGTTTTTCATTAATAATAATTACGAAAATTTACCTACTTTAAAATGTATACAATGTCAAATTTTGAATAACACTTGGGTGTCAATTATAAATACAAATGACCACGCAATATCAAAATGACCACTCAATAACAATTATTGGAATATAACTGCCACCTTCGGTATGGAAGATAAAACAAAACCTGTGGTATGTGCCACCGAAGAATCGGATTTCATTCGTGAATTGTTATTTACGATATTATTCTGTATTATGTAAGCAAACTAGTCTAGTTGCGACAGATCAAGTCAAATGCTATATGTCGCGTGGGTGACTTACAGGAATGCGCTCGGTAACTAACTAACTATACGGCGACTCCGCTTGTTCTCTACCAGTAACTAATGTAAACAAGCATTCCATTTGGCATGACATCGTGTTATGACAACTGTACCGATGCCGGGAGCGAGCCGAACGCCTTGTAGGATCAAGTCGAGTTTGTTTCGACAAAATGTTGAAATATGCATTGCTACCGTAGTTTTAACTCAATGAATAATACAAATGACATGCTGGTGACAAATTAGGTGGTCTCAGATTATATTATTAAATTGGATACGGTTTTAGTGATAGAGATGTTAAGGAACAAGTGATAATAAGGGCATTTCTTATAATGCCTGCGCATCTAATAGCAAACTACTTTTGGCTAAATAAATAACTACTACATAAATAAATATTACTATGTGTTGTTCGGAAGGGAAGACAACAAATTTTTTATAGCTACTTAATTACAAAGGAATTGACATCACTTCAGCTATTTTAAAGTTCATGTGATTTCTATGATCTGAAAAAAATAACCTTTGGTAATTAATTTTCAACCTATCACATGAGCTATAGGAAAAAGATTTAATTTTTCAATTAACTCTAATTAATACTCTGTAGAGTATATCTATGGGTATAAATTCATTTGCTATTCAATAATGAGTGTGTTTTAAAACAAAACGAAAGTAAAATGTATAAAATACATAACTAATTTCAATAATAAAGTTACATTGTATTTAAGTAATATGGCTAAGCTGTTGTATCAAGATTCCTGCAATAATAGTGATAAGCTTTTAATGATAAATAAATAAATCCAAACTATAGAAAAGAAGTCCTTTCTGCGTGTAAAATGAATTTATGAGTGTCGAGGGAATATCGTGATAGTTTACGGTAGGCAACCTCTGGTGGTTCTCTCCACCCGGTGAACCCCGATGCCCTCATGGTAACATGGTACGTTTCATGGGACTAAATTATTAAGGGGATATATATAATTTCAGCGGTGCGTATGGCACTGCGGCGGCGGTGGTCGCAACGTGCGCGAGGCGGCGGCGGCCCACTACCGGGCGGTGTGCCGCGCCCTGGTCGCGGAGGCGCTGGAGCTGGCCTCGTTCCTGGCGAGGGTGCGGGTCGGAGGCGCGCGGGACCTGGGCGCCGCTGAGGACTCCGCGACGCACCTCGATACCCTGCACTTCTCCGACTGGGTGAGTTATCTAACACACAGAGACAGGAAATCTATATATTAAAGCGAAATTATATAACGTTCTGACGTCTAACATAGCTTACTGTTTTTCACTAATGGAGCGCTAAAGCTTAACTATTTCAGTTGAGTTTTTAGCACATCGGAGTACAAGACAGTGGGCGTCATTAGGCGATAGTAACTCATATAATTTCACGTGTTGCAAACACTTTGTCTCCTTTTGACGGAAATTGTAAATATGAACAATTGGTATTAATTATTTAAAAGGTTAAGAAATATTTAATTTAAATGTAACATTGAAAAACAACATACAAGTTTTAGGTAGATAAGTAATGAAACATATCTTTCAAGTATGGGTTCGTCGGTCTTTCTGGACAGTGATTTATTGTGGAAACTTATTCAGATTTCAATATATTATTTTGGAAAATTTTTTTTCAATGCAGTTGCTCATAAAGCGCTATTTTTTTAATCCATTGTTATTCATTTTTTTTTTGTCCGAGCACCAAAGAAATTTAAAAAAAATTATGAAAAAATGTCAAACTTTAGAGGCAAAAGTATTTCAAGGAGCCTAGAACGAATATTTTCAAATAAAAATGTATGACACGAAAACATGTTCAAATATCACGTTTAATTTTAACAAATAATTTTTACCTTTAATACATACCTAGTTTTATTAACATATATATTTGTTTTATTTCCTCGCAAAAAGCATTGAAAAATGTTGTAAGAAACTTGAGCGTAAAAGGTTTTACGAATTCGTGCCAATGAAAACCCTTATTCGTAAAACCTTACTTTCCGCACTCGTATCTTAAATAACTATGTGAGTACAGATTTACGTCCAAAGAGGTATTATAAGCACAGGTTGAGCACATGTGGGTCGGTTACATAATACCTACTTAATGTATTATTAATGTCGTCTACCCCGCAAGCATTTAGGATAGATTTATTTACATTTGAAGTGGCTACTGCTACTTAGGAATTTCTAGATACACTGAGTTACATACCTATTAAACTTGTCTTATATATGAGTAATATAACTTTTTTGATCATAGTCTAACCGAAGGATTTGGAGAGCTTTGCAAGTACGTTGGGAAACTTTAAGTTATTTATGCATGTTGTAATATCGCAAGCCTTGCAAGATTTCATAGTTAATATTTGGTTTCACTTTTTTCTTATTTGAATTTTTTATTAGGTATTTATTTTTATGACGACCTTACAAAGCCAAAAGACCTTTGATTTAAGCTTTCAAGTAGACAATTAAGATAGATTGTCAAATAAATTGGATTTAAAAAAACTTAACTAACATCTTTAGCAGGCATGTTGTAGGTTAATATTAATGAGTTAATACTAGTTTCTTTCACTTTTTATTATTGTTTGTCGTAAGCGCCTACGTTTTATTGTTCGCAATAATGTTTCATAACGTCTCATTGCTATTGTATTATTTCAGGCACGTTTCTGGATGCAAGTGATCGGAGAGCTGAGGATGGGAGTGAAATTAAAGAAAGTGAACTACTCCAGGACCCCCATAGAATATGAGTTAACCCCGTATGAAATATTAATGGATGACATAAGATCTAGAAGATATACGTTAAGGAAAGTTGACGGGGCAATACCTCAAAGGTAATGTGTTTCTGACTATCATCATTTTACTTTTGTTTCAATTAAAATTATTTATGAGTTATTTTATAGTTATAATGGCGGATATTTTCTACGTTAACACTCATTTACCTTTAACATTCAAATACGATGCGGTATGAGCTCCAAATAATACATTTTTGGTCACCTATCCAATGACCTGTCTTTGCTTTGCAATAAAGATTGCTTTTAATTGATTATTTTTTGATTGATGTAATTTATTGACTTAATTGATTGATTTCAACTTCTTCAATAATCTTACCTCAATTGTATTTATTTTGACATACATATTGCTTTTATTTAGGAACTTTTGAACGTGTCCCCTATAAATCTATACTAAATGCCTTACCCTATTCGTATTTTCTGTATTCGCAGCATATTTAAGGAATGTATCCTCCGCGAATAAGGAGCTTTTACTGTATAAGTATTAAATAATGCCTGATAAATTGATAGGTTTGTAACTTTAATTAATAAGGTAAAGTCAACATTACATTATTCAAGTAAAGTTCACAGTGTTTCTTATTCTAGAGGGGAATTTATAAATAATAATATGTTAATATAATTCATTGTTCGCAGTGTGAAAAAGGACGCTCACGCGATGATTCTCGAATTTATTAGAAGTAGACCTCCACTCAAAAAGGTAAAATTCATTTATTTCTAATAAAAAAAAATATTAACAGATTAGATATCAAGTAATTATAAAATTTAGTTGGTATTGGTAGAGCTTGACCTAGACCTTGGCCTTGTGTGAGTTATATTTATTTTCATAGTTTTGTTATTTTTAAATATTTGATTAAATTATTCAAAGATTTTTGAATTTTGCATCACATATTAAACTGTTAAGATTTAATTTATATACGTTGCTCCGTCCTAAGTCTTTCCCACCTAACTCAAAGCTATTGTAAAAGAGAACCTTTAAGAAGGTTTGTTACCAATGGAGTACACCTATAAATGGTTTAGAATACTTTTGGTCCACTGAGGTAAAACTCTCATACAGGCAGTATGAAATAAGTAGTTTTCGTCGCTAGTCTGCTCTGATGTACTTGTTGAACCACATATCCCACAAACTGCTCCCTTATTCTTCCTTGTTTGCACTTATGATGGAAGTTGTATTTGTGGCAGGCGTCGGAGCGCAAGTTGCCGCCGCCGCGACGGGAGACCACCCCTCGGGAACAGCTAATGGCTTCCATACAAGTCGGCAGACAGCTTAGGCCGACGCCCTACTCTAGGAGATTATGTGAGTACCTGACCTATTAGATAATAGTCTTAATTAAGTACTTCAAAAGGGAAAGTCACGGTTATATATTTCAACGTCAAAAATTTCCATTAAATGATGCCTTTTCCTTACTTCAAAATACTATCAATGTAGTTTAACTATGGTTTTAATTTAGTTTAGGTTATTATGAAAGCTAAAAAAAAAATATTGCTTTATGAATGTTGCATTTAAATCAATCATCAGATTAAGCCTCATTATTTGCCTATTCCTTTTCAGATTCCATAATCATTCCTCTTTAACCAATCCTGAAATACGGCGTCCTACCATTCCCGAAATTATTGCGAAATTGAAGAAGTACTTATCTTTAGGTGCACGTTATTTATTATTTAACTTTAAATATATATTTATTTATACAGTTATTCTTGAATACATTAATTGTTACTTTGATATCGATTTATTCTTCTTATGAAATGTCATTTTGTGTCTTCTAAATATGTAAGTAAACATTGCTATTTTAACCCAGTAGGCGTTTTATTGCATAAATATTTTAGTATTCAAATAAGGTACCATCTAAACATAATAATTATATATTTAATTTGATCAATGCTAATTTATTTATACGTTTAGATAAATTAAAGAAAATAATATGTGGTTTAGTGCGTCCTTTTTATTATGGCTTCAGTTTTATATAATTCTGTAAAATTAAAATAATTGTTTGATATTTTAATTTTTCAGAAGTATATTATTACAGAGAAGAATCACACCTCTGTTAATTAAGAAATATGATTAAGTTTTGTCTATGCATTAAAGGCACGACAAAATACATGTTTTTCGAAAACAAGTTCCCAAATAAATAAATCAAAAAAGTCTTTTGCGCAGTTTAAATATGTTCAAAAGTTTTAATTTGCTAGATATTTTTGTTATCTCTGATTATTTTAATATGTACAGTTTGAATTATATCTGTTGCGCCATCTGGTGAGAAAAAAACTACAGCCCTCGTTAGTAACGTATGTAATAATCCAATAAGAATGTACAAGCGAAGTTGCCGTCTATACAGTATATAATTCTACGTTATCATGCGGTCTAGTTTCATAACGCCCTAAAAACGCAACTATAGATAATGTAACACAGCTCTGACTATTGCGTTTGACTATATTCCATGTTTTATAGGAGGAGCGTTTAAAATATGACACATTATTATATCATGTTTCTTATATTATTGAATATCTGAAAACAGCATAAATATTCAAATTAAATAGTAAAAAAAAAAAATTAAATAATTTTTCAATAAAAACAAGGTAGTAAATGTGCAGGCAGATCGTTGTTTTTTATATACGTATGCTATACTCGTGCCAGGAAAGTCACAATCGGCCCGGTTAAAAGTTTAGCAGATCGACGAAAGCAACATTTTAGTCGATTTGCCCAACTAATCACTTAGGCACTTCATGATATGGCTAGGCAAATCGTTGTATAGTTCCGTTTCGCGTCACTGGTGGCGCTGTAGCGCGTGTGCGAAAGATGGCGACGTCACAAGGAAACAAAAACTGTGAATAATGACAGTGAGTTACCTGCTGTCATAAACTTTCATTGTATTTGAATTTAAGATAATTTTAAAACGCTGAACACATTTTTAGTAAACATAGTAAAAAACAATTATAACAACCTTTTTATTTATTAGGCAAATAATTATTATTTTAACTTTTCTTATTAATTTACACTTCAATTTTTTAAATAAAAATAAATTTAAAGATCTGGAAAAATCAGTAGTGTGCGTTCAGTGAATCTTATCATATCACATGTTCATCCCTATGTTGGTTACATAGTTCAAAATAGATAAAAAAAAATTTCAGGAATAAATATTTCCACAATTTTCTGAGTAATGCCTATTTATAGGGTAGATTTGACGTGAATAGAAATATTATTTATACACTCAAGTCGCCGTAACTTAGCAAACCGTAAGTGTCAAGGGGTACAGCAAAGACGGAAAACGTCTCCCTGCAACATGACTTAGTGTAATTAATCTTCTTCAAAAAAAAGGAGGTTCTCAGTTTGACCTGTATGTATGTATATATGTTTGTTCGTGATTATCTCGCGTTTGGCTGAACCGATTTTGATGCGGTTTTCAGAGAAATACTTGTTACACTTAGGAGGAGGTTTTTCGACTTCAAAAAACAATAAGGTTGAAGCGATTTTGATGAGAGTTTGTCACGCATAGTATTTGTCAGATTTAGGAGAAGGTTAAGGTAAATTAATAGACTAAAAAAATTGAAGAGCGCACTTTAACACGGTTTTGACGCGGTTTTCAGAAAAGTATTTTTAATGTTACCTATTGTATAAAAATATCAATATCACTATAAAGCATGAAATAAAAACTTAAAAAAATAGAACCGACTTCAAACTTTAAAAAAGTGAAAAATTACACTTATCTCAAAAGCGACTTATTCAAGAAAATGATATTAAAGTCGGGCGCCTATATATTAAATAAATAACTTACAGAAAACCTCCGCCCGACTTCAATAGTATTTTCTTGCGTAAGTCGCTTTGAGATAAGTATTATTCTTCATTTTTTTAGTGATAGAAATCACATGTACTTTAAATTCATCTCACTCGAATTTTAATTCGAGAATCAATACTCCAGGAACTATAAGAAGAAAAGAATGACGCGTTTTTGTATCTTTAAAATGTTCGATTTGAAATATAATACAAAATGTTTCGTGATTGATTTTAGCCATTTGAAACCTTAAAAATTGAGGCAAGCTACATAAAGGCACATTGTGGTACTATGTGAAACCAAATTTCATACTTTGAAGGGCAATCTTCTCTGTTCGACCGACATTTTGCTCTTATTATGATGAATTCTACTTTCTTATTGAGAACATCAAATAAGTTGACATGTACAGATTGATGTAGTTTTGATGCCCCTTCCCAAGGATGACTGTTGCGATAGTAATCCGTAAACTGATGCATCATCGAGTACAATATTCTCGGAGGGTCGAAATGAAAGTAGGTCAGTGTTCCAGAATACAGAGACGCCGCTAAGTCTGCTGTGATAAATCTGTCTAGGTCGTCTGGAACATCGATCTGTTTGTCTTACGTAAGACGTGAATATATTAAACTAGAGGTAGTCTCAATATACAAATGACTTGTAATTATATATTTTTCTTTAAAAAAGTTTCGGCGATCGGTTTCCGAAACGAGTCTCTGCCTCGTAACCTTTCGCAATCCTTGCGACTGCTCTAATCAATCGAGCTGAAAGCAGATATAATGTCTCGAGCACTTGTTATTTTCGCTGTAAGTGATTTATCAATTAATATAGTATCGTGAACGCAGTTTTACTAATACGATATTTAAAAGGCGAAAGTTTGTAGGTTTGGATGTTTGTTTTCTTGAAATTTGACATAGGGATAATTAACATCCTGGATGAACATTACACTAAATGGTTTTCTAGAGAGAAAAGTATCCTTGAGTCATTACATGCGTGCGAAGCCGGTGGCGGCCGGAATGTTTTACAACGTGTGTGTGTGTAAATTTCACAATTTTGTTTCATTTTGGATACTGTGTCAGACCGGTGGAATGAGTTATAACGTCTGTAGGTAAATTAAATTAAAAAAAAACAATTTTAAGAATTAGATTGTAAAATATTGTAAATTATACATTTACGAATCTAAGGCGCTCCTCTTGGGTGTGAAGAATAAGTTAGAAACTTAGCAATCTTTTTTCCTTGTTTAGTTGCATATAAGGATGTGACATTGAAATTGACTCCATGATAATATATGTTGACGAAGAAACTCTGCAATTATCTCACTTAATTATCTTTCTCATTACCAGGCGAGTTAAAAAACCAACGAGCATGACTCTCATTGAATATCGCAACCTGAATAAATCAATCACTGTGTTGATGAAATCTAATTTCTTAGATATGATGAAACATATGTATAATGAGAAGACAACGCCTTGAAGACTATTAAATAAAAAAATAAAAAATCACTCACAATTATTTTACCAAAGTTGTCTACCATCTAAAAGTTAAAAAGAACAAAAATTTTTGGATTTACCTACGTAACGTTATTGTGGACTGTGATTCTCAAATGTTTTCATTATTGTTGAATTAACTTGTTGATGTTGTTATCGTGTATATTTACCGTATTATTTTAATCATAATGTCGGTGATTTTTGTATTCAATCGGCAAAAATAGATCTTACAGTTGAGCGTTAATGTTATCTTTTCAATTAGCTTTGTAAATGGTTCTATAAGGTTACTATAGTCTGGCAATTTCAACTATAATGTAATAATATGTTAAGATTACTTTGGATGACAATAGGTTCACGATTAAGCAACAAATGTCTAGATTGAAAATAATAACCAATAGCTTTTGGATATAGATGCCACATTAAAAAATGTAGATTTGGAAGTAGACAGGTTAATTAAAATGTCTTTCTTTTATTTAAAAATTACTTTAATCGCATCGTCTTAAGAAATTTAGCAACAATTGTACCATAGTTTTATTGACCATTGAATTTTATGACGTCACTCAATGCAACAATAATAAAAAATAGAACTGATGTACCTATAACAGACGCATCATCTTTTTATTTGGCCAGAATAAAAATTATAACTACATATTTTTAATGTCTTAATTTCTGAATTAATTCAACATAATGGTTAGGTAATAATACTTTAATTTGTTCAAAGATTTAATTTAATATTGTTTTTGTAATGCACCTGTTAAAATCCACAACACATTCAAATGTAAACATCATTCTCAAACAAATAACAATAGAATTAGCTAATCAAACACGTTAACAATAGAAATGATATAAGGCAATACTATTTGTACTGCGAAGGGAAAATTTGTAAAGGTTTGAGTGCCGCATGCTGTGATGCAAGACTCGATCTTGCCGCAGTCTCTGCTCGGCGTTGTTGACGCGCGGTACTATGTGCGTTCTTATTTTAAACAAACTATCGAAGAAGGTTTCTTTTGTTTAGAGTTCTTTTTTCAAGTAAAAAAAGTGATTTTCTT